ACGGCTGCGGTCACGCTCTCTCCCTGCGCGGCCATCTCGACTTGTCTTGTCACCGTTTAAATGCAGTGGAGAGAGTTTATAGTGAAGTAATCAGCGGTGCGTCTACTATCACTATAATTGGCCGCAGTCACCGTCCCCGCTCTCAGGCCAATGGTGGACATCACCGATTACGGTGGTCGAACTATCACACCTGGTTGCAATTACTGCCAGAAAATCAAAATTGATACATTTTACACGTTTCCAGTAATTGTTACTGAAATATGTTAAGTAGATGTTCTTTATGTTTATTTTAATATATCCAGATGTAACCGCGAGAACTCTCGTCATCCACAGTGCATTCCTTCAGACCATCAGCAATGGCACCTACCTGGGTGTATGCCTTTCTGTGGGTGTGGATGAGGGAGTGGCAAACGTCTGTCGACTGTTCATGCCAGTGTCAGCACCCAGCGCTGAAAACTGTCAAATAAATGCAACCGCTGGCCTGGCCTTCAACGACACGGTGTGCGTCTGGTGCGATGAGCAAGAACCCCAACTATCACCCAACTTTTATCGCTTCTCAGGTTAGCGGCTTCCAGGCATCCCTGTTGCCATTGGGCTTAAGAATTCACCAATGCCCCCTGCATGCCAAATCAGCTTTAATTTGAAAAAAGGGTTCGCGTTTTCACACGTTTTCACTCAGGCGTAAACGAAAGAGCAAACGAAATTACCTACCCGATCACCACGGTAACCACACAACCATGATAGGGTTAAGCAGAGATAGGACCTGTAAGAAAACAACTGCATTTTGGAGGCTGTTTGAGACGTGCGGTTGCAGGTATTTTTTTCTGAATATGATGTCTGAAGTTCCCTGTCATCATGGATGAGAAACGGGTCATGGAGTTGGCAAGGGTCTGCCGATGAACAACATATTACTCCAGAGATATTCTTTGCTGGTTCTAGGAAAAGTGTGGGATTCGACCGGAAAGTGGCTTGACTACGGATAAATTCCATTATCGAACGAGACTTGTATCAAAAGAAAGCGGAATCTCATCGGCATACAAATTATGGGACTGGATCCACTTAACTATAAGTTTACACAAAGTCTACTAATTTGCGAAGACATTTATTTAACCTGTTGCTATAAGTGGGGTCAAAAGACGAGAAAACCTTAGTTATGAGTTTCTACGCGTCGGGCACTGGGATACGGCTTTAAATAACCTTGCGTGGAATTGGTCATTTGATTTTATTGCCTTGTGTAAACCCATGGAAGTTTTCATCGATTTTATGACGCCTCGATTGCAGAAACGACCTGGATAATTGTACCAATTGGCAGAAATTGCGCTGGGTGCTAGTCGCCAAAAGGAATTTTATATTTTGATAGCTTATTAGTGGTTTCCAGTGACTTGGCTAGCCAGAGAGTTCACAAAACCAAGAACTCGCCGAAGAGTCGTAATCTTTGCATTTTCAGTATATAGAGGATATATAACGCATATACCTTGATGTGATGTGTCATCTCATCTAATATTAACGTTAATTACGAAATTTGTTTTCAATAAGAAACTCTTCTGAATAAGTGCCTCGCGGATGGCAGCTGTTAAGCGAGCACATTTATGGCTATCTACTGAGTTTCAGGGTGCTTCGAATTTCAAAAATGCCCAGAATGTTCTTTCTCTTTCTCTTTTTCACTGAATACAGTTTTCTCAGAATTTAGTATTTTAATAAATCAGAAGGGCAGTTGGCGAGCATACGTATACTTTCGATAAATTCTCT